AGAATCTCTCTCACAATTTGTTTATCGTTGGTATTACTTTTCTTCAAATGTTTTCTATCACGATCGTAATTTATTCTTCACAAACTAAATTACAATCGCGCGACATACTTAAATCATTTTACATTTTACACTCGACTAATATATATTCTAGATTATTTATTTGTGTGTGTATTAAATGTTTCTTTTGCAAAAATACGTGCGTCTTAAACACTGACAATCCTTTTTAGTGTGTGCTCAAGAGAGTAGAAAAAAAAGAGATTCGCAATCTCTCATACAAAGATAAAACTCGACGTTATCGCATTTTTGATGCAAAAAAAATAATTTTTTCTGCGCGCGTTAGCACACACAGATATACACACACACATACATACACATACACGCACACACGTATCAGCAATTATTGCGTGCGCAGATGATAACACGATAACATTGCACGTAACATAACATTTGCGTATCGCAAACGCGTCGACATAGTACGATTTTGATGTGGAAATGTAACATTTAGTAAACATCGAATCAATATTTCGTCATTGCAAATCGTATATATCTGCCATGTAATAATTCTCGTCTCTCACATTCGTTTTCTGATTTATTAATCTCGCTCAACGCTTCTAAAAGAGCGCGTTCAAAAAGTTTCTTCAATTTTGTATTTATATTCTCCCGATAGAATAAAAGAGAAGAATCGCTAAAAAAATTTTCTCCCATATTTCTCTTTCGTTAAATTAAAGTTTGACTTAAAATCGCCATCCTCTGCTTCTTCTTTCAAATTTTCTTTGCGCACGCAATCGAATGTTAGTGTGTCGGAATAGTTTATACAACTACTCAACGCTGAGACATCGGTGATCTAATTTCTTCGTGCATATTCATTTGGCATATTTTGATTTTCACCGTAGAAAAGTATAATTTGTTTTCCCTCTTGCGTTAGATTTCTAAAAAGTATAATTTACGTCTCTAATAAAAAAAATATGTAATATATGTTTTTTACTTGTAATACAATAATAATAATAATAATAATAATAATAATAATAATAATAATAAAATAGTAATACATGTACAAACAAACAACGAGGAATAGTACTCTGGTAATTACAATCGGTTCGCGATAACTGCCTCGTTCTCTATATACATACAGAAAACAATTCTGTTGTTTTTACGTTNTAACTATTATTGCTGCGATACACGTGCGATATCTCTGGTTGCACAAACTCCCACGAAAATAACCGCTCAATTTGCGAACAATGCTCGACCCCGGAATACAACATCATGGACGGAATATTAATCTTAAAAATTCTTATGTGTCAATGTTAGCATCGACAATCGGCCGCGTTACATGCAAGTGCAAAATGGCGATGTAAAAATTCTGCGAACGATTCGTTCATCGTGGAACAAGTATACGTGTAAATACATATATATAATATATATAAATATATATATAGTGATAACGAACCACCCATTATATATACAAAGTGTCCCAGAATTGGTGTGACATCTCTCGTAGGCAGGTAGAAAAACTGAGTCGAAAAGTCCTGAACCAATTTCTTTCTATTATTTATATTAAAGAAGTAATTATTGAGTAAATCAGGCCAATCAGCGCCGATCTTTAGCCAGGCGCACGTCAGTGAACCGCGCGGAGCGCTCACACACAGTAGACGCGTGGCTATATATATATATAATGGGTATATATATATATAATTGGTGGTTCGTTATCAATTTAATCCTAATAAAAAAACAAAAGAATTATATAAATATTGTGACAAGTTACGTTACAACTCAGCTGTTTTATTTTCGCAAGAATCGAGGCAAACAGTATTCAAAAAGATATTATAAACGATGTTGTCAAACATGTATACATAAATAAACAACATGTTTAAAGAAATTAACTTGGACGCACAAGTAATAAAATAACATTTAAATTTGTTCTTGAAAAAATAGTCGCAAAAGCGTCGATTGACTCGCTGCGAAGTTCAAACATCGAAAAAGAGCGACGACACGAATTCACGGATTTCTCTACACGCGAGATGCGATGGTTTTTGAATAAAAAATACTTCGAACTGTTAAAACCGCGTTATTTTTCGCAGAGAACGCGTCGATTCGTGCTGAACTCGCGATTAAGTAAGCGTGTGTGTAATACTGAAGAACACTTGTTCCACACAAACAATCTCGAATTCGTAGCCGGTCGATTTATACTCGCGATTTTTTATTTGTACTCACGCGTCTCTATCTGTTCGTCAAAATATCGTCCCGAGAAGCAGAAGGAAGGGAAAAAAACACGCGTAACAACATAAATAAAATCTAACATTATCGGCGCGTCCACATATCAGCGGCGCCAATAAAAATCTGCGTCGCGCGAGGAGTCGCGTCGCTATATCCCTCTCTCCGTCTCTTTCTCCCGCTTTTTCTCGCAAGACTCGAGAGAGAGAGAGAAAGATAGAGAGAGAGAGAGTTCGATCGTATAGGATTTATTTTAATTTATCTGGAAAGAGATAAAGCACATGCCCGTCGCCTATGATATAAGTAAGGATTATCGTACACAAGTCCAACGCGACAACGCGCGAATTCGCGCGCGATCCCGCCGCGGATAGAATTCCCAGCGCGATCTCAAATCGGAGCGCACTCGTCCGATTCCTCGTCACTCTCCCTCGAAGCACCACAATAACGTCTACTTGCTGAAGGCCGGATTCAGCTGACCGGTCTTGGTGTTCGTCGCGTTCGACGGCAACGGATTGCTCAGGTGCAACTTTTCCTGACGCTTGGCGGCGCGCGCCAAACACACCAGGGCGCCGAGTAGAACGATCGCGCCGATCGCGGCGAGAATGCCGGAAACCGCGGCGTGAGCCACCGGCGGAAGATCCACTCCGAGCTTCAGCAGAGAACGCATCTCCGGCGGAAGCTCGTCGACACACTGCGTGAACAAAAAAAAGAGAAATACATCATTAGTCACAAAGAAACAATTTAATAAATAAATAAATGATGATGAGTGTAGTCAGCTTCAAATTTTTTAAAATAAATATATAAATATTATATTTAAATATAATATATTTAAAATAAATAAATATAATTTTTTAAAATAAATCTTAAGTCATTAACAATGGCTGTTTGAAGCAAAACACTGATGATGATGTGTATGTAAATAATGTGTTACTTTATTCAAGAAAACTAATATATAACGTTTTTTCGACCTTCGAATTAGGCCTTTTTCAATATAAAGTGTGTGGACATGGATATAAACTTCTTAAAACCCAAACTTGACACAACTTCACATAATTACGCTCAGCGAGTTACAAAGTAACTGAAAGAACCTAAGGCGGTGTGTCGGTTCAAATGAACCGACTTAATTACTTAATGACTTAAGATTATTTATTTTAATAAATAAATATCTTCTAATTGTTTAATTTTTCTTTTTATTTGTATAAACTAAGCTATTTCTGTTCTCTCAAATTTACTGAAATTTTATATTACTCGGAAATTGTAGTACGCGCGACTCTCTTCGAAGATGCTTTTGACCTTATCTCGCTGAGATATTTATTTTATTTATTTATTTATTTATTCACACCAGCCTTCCCGGCCAAGAAGGGGACTTGGTTTACAAGCTTTCTAATTCCACCCATACCCTTAACGTCTCCCATTCTCCAAACCTATACATATCGTTTTCTTACCCTAACTTACTTCTACTTTGTACATTATCTTAATTACCTTACGTCTAAAGTGCACATAACATTGCCCTTCTAATGTCCACGCATATCTTCCTACTTGACACTTAAATCTATTCTCTATCTCCTATAACTTCCGCTGAGATATTTATTAAGAATCGTCTTACAAAATCGTTCTTCCGCGTTAAAACGCAGATAAAGAAAACGACGAAAAGAAGCAGAGAGAAAAAAAAACAGTTTCAGGCGTTTAACATTTAACACAAAGCGTCAAAAAATAGACTCATTGATCCCGAAAAAAGTGGCGTATTGTTCGTTTGGAGATAATCGATGTTCCAAAACCAGTTTTCGCGAGATGAGTCTCTCGCTTCTCGAAGATCAAAGAGCAAACACTTCGGATTCACAGCGAATCTCCTTTTTTTTTTTTTTCCTCGTCGTCGACGTAACGTTGCATCGTTGCGCGCGCAACTCGGAGAAACGCCGTCGAACTCTTTATTAGCGTGGTTCGCGACTCGGGACAAGTTCCATTAATATGAATCATATGGGCTGAAATGTGCGCGGCGATACGTGGCTCTTCTACGTGAGCGGTATTCAAACGCGCGTATGGGTTGCGGTGGCGCCATACCGCAAACTAACGACGGCCACCAAGGCACGTACTTGCCATTGTCATCGAGACAAAAAAGAAAAAAAAAAATAAAAATTTCACCGGTACGCGCCAATCGACTCGTAGACGACGATAGCGACGATTTGTAAGCGCGACGCGACGCGACGCGACATTCGCGTCGTACGGTGTGACGTAGATTGAAGAAGGACAAACTGGGGATTCATGTACGAAATACCTGGTACGTCCTTGAAGAAACCTAATTTGTGATTTCGCGCTCGCTCGATCGAGAGAAACAAATTCTAATTTGTTTGTTATCACGTAGTTCGCTTCGAATTTCGCTCAAATTGTTCGCTCGCGGTCGTTTCGTTTTTGTTAACACAGAAAGTATATCTGTTTTATTTTAGCGTTTCGAATTCATCGCGATAATCAGAGACGACGTCTTTGCCGCGAACATTTCTCGCCCGTGTAATAATAGCATAATTACACAACTTTTTTATCACACATGGTCAGCTTAATCGGATGACGCAGATTGCCGCGGTAAATCTTTTCGCGTTCGATATGATTGTTTTTCGTTTGGAACACAACGTTATTACGACCTGTAAAAAAAAGTGGTAGTTCCTACTTTTTGCGTTAGTCCGCAAAACGTATCTTTTGTATCTGCGCGATTTAGCGAAGATAATCGCCGCGCTGTTGCTCGTTTAAATATTCAATGTCGAGTTGCTGCGTAGATAAATTTAACAAAAGCAAAACGCCGATGATTCACACACGACTGCGTTCTCTGACAGGGATGAGAGGGTAAAAGGTCAATTGTACCTGTCTGCCTCAGAAATCATCGTGCAACGCTGCACTTTGCGTTCTGTATCGTGAATCACTCGGGATTAATAATCATAAATTAAACAATCCACTCGATAGGGAAAAATGTTCGCTCTTATGTAAAATATATGCACACGCGTGTAAAAATCTCATGTCTCTGTTAATATGTCAACGTTAAATAATATCTACATTTTGTAACGTCACACACGCGTCTTGGTGTGTTTTAACAAATATCTATTACTCTAACTTAAAAAAAAGTGATAATATTAATTTTATTACGCTGTTTAATTACGCTGTTTGATATACAGTATGTATTATGTAATTAACTTTGCGTACTCGGGAGACGTCAATGAATGTCTTCTCGCAAAGCAGAGGCAATTTTAGTAAATGGGATAATTACGTATACTTACTGTAATAAGAGCTATATATATATATATATATATATATGTACTTACATCTTCGAACCACATAATGGGGAAAACAATGTCGGGAAACGATGCGACCTGTTTGATATCTCGCACCTGGCTGACCGCGAGATTTATCTGCACTCTCGCTCGCGCCTTCATCGCCGTGCCCATTATCGGCTGCACGTCGATGTAGAGCTCGTGTTTTTCGGCCTCCGGCGGCGTAATGCCCACCACAGCCTCTCGCAAGGTCGGATCGGCTAGAAAAAAAGAGATAAGCAGAGGAAATAAATTTTAAAAAGTTTTTTTTTTCAAGATTTCAAGGTATGAGAAGATTTTTTTCGATTTCACACACACACACACACACATATAAGTTAGAAAAAAAAAGAAATTCAAATTTTTTATTAGTATTAAAATATTCCACTCATTTCAATATGTTGGCATTTGTCAGAATAATGATTTTTTTATTCGCATTCTTTTTTTGTTTCGGTTCGATAATAATCAACAAAAAAATCAGTTCACTTGTACGTGCCGCGTTTGCATGCTTTTTGCACAATGTCATATTTTTGCAGCGTCAAAAGTCACTTCGCGCGGTTGTACGTAATATACAGAAACACGCAGCAGTTTATAAGTGGCGCCTAATATCTCGAGAGCAATTTAAGAGAGTTGCACTTAGTGTCTTTTAGTGTCTTTCGAAATACAAAAAAACTTTACCGCAAAGCGAAGAGCATTAAACGACGCGTTAAACTAGAATTTGTTAATTTATTTTTTTTTTTTTTGCTCTCGGAAATGTTTGCATTCTTGCGTCTGTAAGATTTAAACTGTCTGTAAGAAAAATTATTGTTATTAAATATTTTTTTATTTTTAATATTATACACACCGAAAAAATTGTCTTCTTGTTTTGAGGATATCCCACTTACTTTAAGTACATTTTATACTAAAATAGGCGCCAAGAAGAGTTTCTTATTTTAAGAGAAAAATCCTCTAAATAGTAATAATATTGATAAGAATATATACTGATTAGAATATAAAAAGCCTCTATAGAAAAACATATATATATCTCACTATCGAAAAAGACTATATTCTTAAATAAAGAATATATTCTTAATTTTTTAAAAATATATATTATAATTTATAATATATATTATAATATTATTAAATATATTATTATATTATAAAAATATATTATAATTTATATAATATATTTTTAATTTTTAGATGATATTCTTAAATAAAGAACATATTCTTAATTTCAGAAGAATATCATCTAAAGTCTTTAAGAAGATTTTTTAAGTATAAAATCTTCTACTTACAAGAATATAATTTTTTTGGTGCACTTATAAAATATTTTTAATATTTCTGTCACAGAGTTCACATTTTTGTCCATAAGAAGTTGCTCGCAAAATACTCATTTTTTGAGACCACTAGAACACTACCGAGAGATTGACAAAGCGACAGTTTTCAGATTTCTCTTTAACTGAGTGATTTTTTGAGTTAAATATTGTTCTTGTCCAATTATAACTTTTATTTTACATAAACTAAACATAAAAGCACATACACTGTCTCTCTTTTTAAAATATCCGTCACATTCACGGATGTGATAAAACTAGATACACATTCAATATATATATATTGATAGTTAATTAAAGCATCATCTCATATGCGCACGCGTGTATTTTAAATTAACGCAAATTTAAAAGCATATCACAATCTGATATACTTGTCGAATGTTATGAGGTAAAAACAGGTTCGCACAACGAGCGGTGACGAAATACAACTCTCGAGAGACCTTGTGTAAAAGAATTTAAGCACGCTGAAAATAAAAATTGGCGCAATATATAGAACACACGCGGGAGAAAGTTCGAATGGTATTTTGTGGGAAAATCGCGGCGCAGTGTATTCTGGCGGATATGCGAAAGAGAAAAATAAGAGATCGTTTTCTGGCGAGAAGACAACAATGTAAAACAAAACAAAAAGAAAAAAAAAGAAAAAAATAGACTCTTCCGTGCAACCGCTTGCGAATTTGCTTCATCTCTGATTTCGATTTAAGCGCCGGAAGCGACGCGACAGACAGATCTCGCTTGCAAAACCGGCACGCGTTCGAACGATGTTTATTAACCCGGCCGAATCGATCGCGAATTTACCGCGTAGTAAAGCAAGAAAAGAAAAAAAAACAGGACTGAACGCGATTAAGGTGAACTACTTACCGCTATTCAGGAAATTGTAATGTGCGGCAATTGCGAGCGAAATGTAATTGTCGCGATGCGGAGTAAAAAAAAAGTGTGTCCGCGAGCGTATATCGCGTGTTACGCAAAACAAATTTATCCGCGAGACACAACCGAAGCAGAAATTTATTTCGTGGAGATTACGTATTTATGTAACAAGTAATTATATACAACGTGTTAAAATAGATTCGTGCGAGAGAGATCGATCGCGAAAAAATTGCAGCTAACGATCGGCTGCTGGTGGCGGGCTTACACATGCACGCGTCGGACATTGAGCGTTTTTGATTCACGACGTCGAACATTGTGGCGATACGTGTATTGCGCGTAGTAATTAGGAAGGTTAATTCGCGAATTCGAGCTCTCTGTGACGGCAATAATAATAATAAAATAATAAAGGAATAATAATAACAATAATAATAACAACTAAGAAATGAATAAGATCATACGAGCCGCTTTGCAGGATGTTATGCTGAAATGTTCTATTATATATATGTATACATATATATATGTTCACATGTAAATTTTTACACGTGTTTTTTNAATTGAAATTTCAATTCTTAAAATCATTACAGTATGCTATACTTGCATCTCATGTATGAAAGACCCCGAATACCCCCCGAACAAATTTTAAAATATTTTTTCGCAATATTTTAAAATATTATATTTAAAAATTTATTATTAATTTATTTATTTTTTATTTTTTATTAATGTTTTATCATTTTTTTATTTTATATTTAAAATATTTTTTCGCAATATTTTAAAATTAGTTCGGGGGGTATTCGGGGTCTTTCATACATGAAATGCAAGTATAGCATACTGTATGATTTTAAGAATTGAAATTTCAATTCAAAAAACACGTGTAAAAATTTACATGTAAACATATATATATGTATACATATATATAATAGAACATTTCAGCATAACATCCCGCAAAGCGGCTCGTATGATCTTATTCATTTCTTAGTTATTACTTCAAGAGAGCCTTAAGTTTCTTTATTAATAATAATAATAACAACAACAACGCAAACGAGATAGTGTGTATTTGCGCTGAGTGTCGTTGCTCAATCGTCGCTCCCGTACACGCGTCCCTCTCGACACGGAGTCGTGAAAAGCCCAAATTATCTATAAATCTATGGAATTAAGTTCGCTCGCGCGTAAATAACTTCCCGATCTTTTTTACGAGACGTTTCGCATGCAATTTTATTTTTTTTTCGCCGTCGTAAAACATTACACGCCGGCAAATCACTCACCAAGATAAAAGTGCGGGAAGGTGAGAAGAACCGGCGAGTCGAACTGACACAGGGAAACGTTAAACGTGCCCTCGGGTGCGCACGGCGGTCCAGACGGACAGTAGCACTGCTGCGAAGCTTTATTCTCCACCGAGGTGAACACGTCCGTCGGAGGCGAGAATCTGTAGCCGGGAATTCCTCCTGCGGCTATCACTTCGCGCTAAAAAATAATTCGGAAGGCGTTTCAGAATGGAGAAAAAAAACAAAAAAAAAAAAAAACATGTTTCAGCGGATATTTAAATATGCGCATACACACACACACACACACAAGGAAAGATAATCGCAAGAGATTGCGAGTTGAGAGACTTTCTGAAAATGTTAACTGCTTTAAAATCGATTAATTAAAAAAAAAAAAAAAAGACGTATAAAAATATAGAAACCTGAAAGACGAGCGGCAACGTTCTGCAGAGATCCTTGTCGAAGACCTTAAGCACGGTCTGCTTGGTGATGTGGGGAGGAAAAATGCTGCCGTCCGTGCCCATGATGGAGTCGCACTCGGGCGTCGTCCAGTAGCCAAGGCCCTCCTTGCCATTCCATCTGTTCATTATGCCGAATTTGGTGATGTCATTGGCGCCGGTGAATATCGTGTACAAATCCGGCATGGTGGAATTTTTGCCGTAGAGCAAACCAAACTGCTCGTACGGCAATTTGTGCTCCTTGGGCACGACGTCTTTGGCGAGTTTCAGCAGCGGGTCCTCGTAGCCCCAGAGCAACTGGCCGACCGACACCTCGACGAACGGTTTGATTTTCAGGATGTCCATGATGGACGCCATCGCAAGACGCAGAAATCGCGCGGCGTGCTTCGACTGGCTGGTAGCCGAAAGCATGGGAACGTTTGGCACGACCACGAGATCGTCCTCGGAACCAGCCGACAAGGTCTGTAGGATTGGAGAAAATATTTGAACCCCAAGTGTTTGCGCGCGAAGTTAGAAATTAATATTCACAAAAATGTGTGTTAATCCTCTATGGGCCTATGTAACTTTCAAGTCACAAGCTAATATAAGTCACATTTTACCAAATAGTTTTAGTTTTTTTCACAAGATGATGTATATACGTCTTAATTATATAATACCTCTGAAATAACCAATAACAATAAACGCTTTCGACCTTGTATTAGGTCCTTATCAAATGCATTTCTACAATTAAATCAACATAAAATCCAATTAAAATAAAATTCAAATTCAAATACACACGCTGTTCTCAGTCGCGTCTTATCCTATTGTAAAGTGTTGGTCGGGCCTGCTTGTGCGATATGGACGATCAGTACTGTGTGACGTAAGGGAGACCGGGGCTAGTTGTGACACGGGGTTAGTTGTCAAACTGCTATTATCTTGCTTACTAAATCTTGGAAAATATTCTTCTTTTTATTGTAAGTTGTTACTAGTTGTGTTAGTAACGTGTACGAAAGAACTTTTCTTAAAAACATTATATATGATATTTACGAGCACTTTTGTAAAACTGAATATGGCAAGTAGATTTTTCTGATCT